CTCAAGGAAATGAGTTGATAGGGATTAATAAATAAACCCTGCAAAATGTCAGTGTTAAACTGTGTTGTGTTTTCTGAATTACGTAGCTGGATGCGTGGTATCTTAAGTCAGCCTACCTGCTCTTCTTGTTGTTTCCTTCGATGACTGTAAAATTGAAAATAGGGAGAAAAGGCAAAGTCGTTATCTGCTACAAACTGACTATGGCTATGAAAATCAGGGATTGGTGCATTTGTCCTTTTAGCTCCTAGCTTTAGAAATTTGAAAAGGTTAGGGGACTGAAGTTGATGGAGGCATCTGTGACCAGTAAATCAAAACAAATTTTGGGGAATTTTTATGGTATATGTCAGGGTAAATTAAATACACCTTTGTGTATTTAATATAATATAATATAATAAATAGTCACCAAGTGGAGGAGAGAGGGAAGGGAAGGGAAGGGAAGGGAAGGGAAGGGAAGGGAAGGGAAGGGAAAAGGAAGACTTCCCCATGTTTCTGTTGCCTTTTGCTGAGAAGTGCTCAGACCAGTGAATAGTCAATATGAGGCCCAGGAACGTGTCAGTCAGATGGGGTCAGGCCTTCACTGACTGTATGAGCAGCAAAGATGTTGCTCATGTCTGTGGTAACAGCTGGATTGCCCTTTCTGTACCTCACATCATCCCTCATCATCATGGGACTGTGGTAGGGTCTGTTCAGCTGGAGGTCTAATTTCTGATGTCTGCTGTTGCTATTTTCCTGAGACAGTGGACACCTACAGAATCTGATATTTTCACAATTCAGATCTCTTTTTGCAGATAATATTTTTTTTTCTCAAAAAACCAAAACAAAAACCCACAGAAACTGAACTGTGACCAGGATTGGGATTATTATTGGGGTGTTCGTGGTGTTGTAGGTCGGTATTGATGTAAGTCAGGCTAGAGCTGTGTTGTATATGCAGGAGCTGTGTTTTCATGCAGCACTGAGGCAGCATTTGGCACGGGGAAGGTTAGTTAATTGTACACCCACTGGCTAGAACGCACATTTGGGATAAGTGAAATTTTCTTTCTAGATCAAAAAACTTCATTTTTTTGAAAAGCATTTTTTTTTCCCATATGACACCCAAATAAAGTTGTAAGTTCAGTACCTGATTTCTCCCTTTCCCAGTGACAGGGCAAAACCCATCTGTCTGTGTTGTACCATCTCCTCTTCTATCCCTGGTGTGTGATGGCAACCTAAAGTATGTCTGAAGGTGTGTTTGGGATAGGAAGGGTGGGTGAGATTCCTTCTGAGAGCCCTGGGCATATGAAGTGCTGGAATTGACCTTAAATACCTCTCTATCCAGGCATACTGTAATCTCAAGCATGTTTATCTGGGCATCTCAGGTAGAGAGTGCTGTTAGTCTCATTGCCTTCTTCTGATGTTAATTTATAAAACCAAGTTGCCCAAGGTTCATCGGGAGATCTATAGCTGCCCAAGGACTTCAGGCCTTCTAAATCCTTAATTACAGGACTGTGTTTGTTTACAAAGAATGCCACTAACTCATCCGGGATGCTGCAAAGGTCTTTGGGGAATACACAAATAACAGCATCTTGCTTTACATTTGTTAAAAAAAAATAAATCCTTTTGGGCAGGTATGGGGTCTTGAAGATATCAGGATAAACAATGAAAGCTGAAAAAAGTAAGTAGTTTTTCAGCTAAGTATTTAAGTAGTTGAGTACTCTCGCAGTAAATGTAAAGCTATTTACATATGTATGTATGTAAAGCTATTTACATATGTACAAAAATGTAAAGTTATTATTGTACAATCCAGATAAAATTACGTGAGAATACATTTGTTTGCACACCTTTAGAGGTAGATATTGCATAGGAAAAAATCAAGAGACTAGATGTTTTAAGGTTTCAGCCAGTTCCAGCTGTCTCCAGTGGACACTGCAGGCCACAGGAGAAGTGTGAGCAGGAAGGAGCAGCAGAGAACAATTGCCCTCTGCTGACCATACATAGTTTGCTTATCTGGAATTCATTGTGGGGCACTAGATTTCAAAGTTCTGGATCCTAAAGTTAATGAATCATCAAAAGGAAGCTAAAATCTTCAGAAAACAAATGCTTGATTAACATTTTATGTTGATGTATTACATGCATGCTGAAAATCAGGGTTGGAGAAAGAGAGAATATGCATCTTTTGGGGAATGATTATGTAAATTCCTACTTGCTTAAGTATTTAAAAAGTGGCTATGTGCTTTGTCTATATAGATTTCACTTCGTACCATAATTCTGTAATCAGCAGAAGTTGATGTTTGAATCCGGAGAGCTAATTGGTTGAGCTAAAAACATTAAACAACCCAGGCTGTATTTTCTAGGGTGAAATTAATCCATGTTTTTTGGAATCTGGCTACAAAATTATATTGTTAATTTTGACAGTAAAAAACAGCGGTGAGTGCAGAAATCTCTCATCTTTGACTTCACTTTGCCCTGTTTAAGTCTATCTTACAGGTTGCTCAGGGAGGCTGAGGAGTCTCCATCCTTGGAGATACTTGTTGTCTGGACACAGTACTGGGCGACTGGCTCAAGGTGTCCCTGCTTGTACAGGGGGAGCTGACCAGGTGACCTCCGTAGGTCCCTTCAACCTAAACCAGTCTGTGATTCTGTGATCTGCTACCTCCATCAGTGGTTTCTCTGATTTCTTGGTTTTTTTTTTTAATTTTAGTCCAACACCCACTTAAATGTACAATGACTTCACTGGCTGTCTTGTGTGTTAGAGCATATGTGCAAGGTTACACCAGAGGAATGCATGGATAGCTTGTAAGTGTATCTTTGAGACAGAGCTGCCAAAATTATTTTCTTAAAGGTCTATTTTTTCAATAATCTCACAGCAACACAGTTTTGAAGCAGAAATCTTGGAGGCAAAATACTAAAAATAAGCCACTCAGGAGTTTGCTATTTCACTTTCCTTATTATTATTATTATTATTTTCTATGGTGTGGCAAGATAACTTGATATGTGACAACTGTTGTAATAGTGCCAGGAGTCACTAGCTCTACAAAGAGAATTCTGAATCAGATCCTTCAATTGTCGTAGTTCCTGAATCAATATTGTTATTTTTGTAAAGGATGAGGATTGGGACGTAAGATTTCCTTTGCAGTCTGGCAGAGAGGGAACAAGAATGAGTGTATCCAATTAATTGCATGATGTGAGATGAGTGACAACCTATAGGAGACCGTTGGAGACGTGTTGCTGAAGCAGTGTGGGAAGCTGATGCAGACACTGACAGTAGCGACTGTGGATATATACAAATAAGTTGATAGCTGAGGTTTTCCAACCAACTCATTTAGCCAGCAGCAAACTCGTAGAAAAAGAGGCAAGAAAGGCCCCTTGCAGTTTATACGTGCCAAGATGAAGATTCAGACTCAAGCCAGAGCCTGTTTCAAAAGCAGCTGTGATTGCTGCCCATGATGGGGAAGCCAGTCAGTGCACAGTAAACCCAACCCATCGTTCAGGGAATCAGGGTTTCTGAGTAGACTTCTAAAGCTTTACTCTGAAGCAGCAGCTCCAAGGAAAGGTGAGTGTCAGGAGGCAGAATTCACAGAATCACAGAATCGTAGTGGTTGGAAGGACCTCTGAGATCATCGAGTCCAACCAACAAAAAAAAAAAAAAAAAAAAAACCAAAAAACCAAAAACCACAAACCACCACCTAAAAACACAACAACAACCACCAAACCAAAAACCATCACCCACCCACACAGCACCCCACCACAAACCAGTAATCTTGGGCACTAGAGCATGCCCTGAAGAACCATGTCTACACGTTTCTTAAATACCTCCAGGGGTGGTGACTCCACCACCTCCCTGGGCAGCCCATTCCAATGCTGGATAACCCTTTCAGTAAAGAAATGTTTCCTAATATCCAACCTGAACTTCCCCTGGTGCAACTTGAAGCCATTACCCCTTGTCCTATCATCTGTAACTTGGAAGAAGAGACCGACCCCCGTCTCTCTACAGCCTCCTTTCAGGTAAAAAAAGCCAAACAAAAACAACCAACCAAACAAACAAAAAAACCCGACAACACACACAAACCAGCACCCACCACCTAAACACACAAGAACAACCACCAAACAAAAAACCATCACCCACCCACACAGCACCCCACCACAAACCAGTAATCTTGGGCACTAGAGCATGCCCTGAAGAACCATGTCTACACGTTTCTTAAATACCTCCAGGGGTGGTGACTCCACCACCTCCCTGGGCAGCCCATTCCAATGCTGGATAACCCTTTCAGTAAAGAAATGTTTCCTAATATCCAACCTGAACTTCCCCTGGTGCAACTTGAAGCCATTACCCCTTGTCCTATCATCTGTAACTTGGAAGAAGAGACCGACCCCCGTCTCTCTACAGCCTCCTTTCAGGTACTTGTACAGAGCGATAAGGTCTCCCCTCAGCCTCCTCTTCCCCAGACTGAACAACCCCAATTCCCTCTGGATGAGTCTTCCCCTGGGACAGGGAGGGCTCCCCTGTCTCAGCGCAGGGTGAGCGTTCCCCAGCATGGGCTTACAACCGCAGCAGGGATGTATTTTGGCTTCAGCTTCCTTTACCCTTTTGTAGTCATCCTTTCCAGCTCCCTACCACTGTGCACAGGTTTTAGCTTGTCGCTGCGGGCTCCTGCCCCTCGTCCTGCTGGCTTTCATCGATCGTGGCCACGCACGCCGTTGACGCTCACATGCCCTTTGATAAAGTGGCTGTCAAAGCCTCCCGTCCCTCCACGAGCCGCGGCAGGGACCCGCTCCTCTCCGAGACGTTCGTTAGCCTCGTTTGCCAAAAAGGTTTATGTAACAGATGTTGCACAGCGGCCGCGGAGAAGCAGCACAGGCTGGCACACTGTCACGGCGAGGGCTGCCGGGGTGACGATGGAGGGAGGATGCTCTGCGGGGCTCGAGTAGCTCCACGGCATCGCCGCCTCGCCTGTTAAAAAAAAAAAAATAATAAAAAAAAGGCAACTAACGTCTCTTGTGTGATCATGCTGTATTTTCAGCTTGTCATCATGGCTGGGACTGTGCTGCTCGCCTACTACTTCGAGTGCACCGATACTTTCCAGGTGCATATCCAAGGTTTCTTCTGCCAGGACGGGAATTTGATGAAACCGTATCCCGGAACAGAGGATGAGAGCTTCATTTCACCTCTTGTGCTCTACTGCGTGCTGGCTTCAACTCCGACAGCTATTGTAAGTATAAGGAATGACTTGGATTCTCCACGACCGCTCCATAAATAATAGCGAGAGTCCTGTAATGTCTTTGTCCCCTCTCCTCTCTGTTCAGCTGTAATTGATTTACACTTAGCCGGGTCTCTGTTTTGCCTTAGACTAATATGATCTTCATCAGTTATCTCCAGAAGTAATTATTCTGAGGTAATCACAATGCAAGATTGAGGGCTAGAGCTTGTTAAGCCTTTTACAATAGCTTGTTCACTTCAGTGATTAGTTGTGAAGTGCCTGGGCTCCAGAGAGGCTCTAATGCAAAGGTGGTGTATTACTGGAAATAAGAAAACAGGATAAAGCTGAAGTAAAACCTGGGTCGGACATGCAGTATATCCAGGATTATTTGCTGCTATATTAAAAGGACTATTGAATGGCTTTAAAAGGCTTAGATGAGTAGAAAGTTGCTCAATACAAAGAAAAATAAGAATGCTATTTGCTTTTGATTTGTAATCTCTTTGGTTTTGGCAGTCATATCCACTTAACTTTTTTCTACCTGATTTTCTTTACTGTCCAACCACTAAGCTGCAGTGTAGCTGTTCTGAGCAGATGAAAATATTCAATTAGCTGAGTAAATACAATTACAAAGAGATTATTGCAGCAACTGATTAGCAAAACTTTGGCCCTTTTCCATTTTCTGTGCAGAAAGTTGCAAATTTTACAAAGAGCCATCTTTACTGCATTTGTAATTACATTGATAAAATCCTATCAGACTGTGTCTTTATGTACTTTGTTTTATTTCTTTCTCTTTATTTCTTTATCTTTAGGTTTTTTTTTTTATAACTTTGCTTTGCATCCTTTTCAAAAGTTGGTTAAAGCTGTACATGATATATTTACTTGTGAAAGATGGATGCTGCACCACAGTCCATTTTAAGTTTTGGTCTGCAGTAATGTTCATGCATGAAACAGCATAACACAGAATGTGGTAAGAAATGTGAAAGGGATCTGCAGAAGAGACTATAGTTTTTGGTACAGGACACTTTCTGAAAATGAGTGGGGCTTTTAGATTGAATTACATCATAAGTTTATGAAAATCCTCTACAGTAACTGTTATTTTCTGTATTGAAACTCAATTGAATGTGAACACTTTTGTTTTACTTTGTGCTGCAGTGATATATTATTTGCAAATGGAAAAATTAATACTATATTTCTCCAACTTCCCCCCATAAATATAGTGCCATTGTTTAGGGAAATAACTTTCACAGGTGGTGTTTGTAAAAGGAGACAGAGTGTCACTACCATGCCTTGATGCCGTAACAATGAAGTTAGTGCGAGGTTTGTCCCTTGATTCAGCGATTTGGTGTTGGAGGGGAAGGCAAGTGGTAATGAGAATGTTGATCTTTATTTGCATCTTCTGTTTAAATCCTTGCTCTGCCAAAGTTTGCTGCTAACCTGTCAGGTTTTGCTCCGCTGGATCAGCATTTTCTTTCTTTTCTGTGACCCAAGAAGTTTTTCCTAGGTACTCTTATGTGTGAAAAATTGAATTGGAGTCTTCTTCAGGAGACGAGCAGTGCTGGTTTTGTAGTTTCCATAGCCCACGTTAAACACAAGGAATGAAAAGACCGTAGTGAATGTCAAAGAAAGTTTTTGGGTGCTTGAGAGACCTTCAGCATAGTGTGTTGTGGAGCTGGTGTGACTCTATCATACAGAAGTGCTAGCCTGGGTCCAGAAGTACAGTACCCACCCTAGATGATTAGATCCAGTGCTGGATATGAGCTAATAAGCTCTGTTTCTTGGGTTATGCTGTACTTTTTGACACTTTACTGCCTTGGCTAGAAAAGAAGGGTCAGGGACAGCGCAGGGCTCTTTACACCATGCTTCACTGTGATCTCTGTCTACAACTTCAAGGAGACAGCAGACCAAACTCTCCTGAGAAAACATTGTTCTTTCCTTTTTTAATGTAGTAAGTATTTATATGTTATTTCATGCATTATTTTTATTAATGTATTGTACTATTAATAAATTATTTAATGTATTACTACTTAGCACTGGGCTGGTCTTCAACCAGAGCATACACGAGAGGGATCTTTTTCTGTCCTCCTGACTGGTGCTCAGCAAAATGTCTTTACGTGAGAAATTTCACTTTACTTCTCATTCCCATCTCTTTCTGAGAGATTTTCCTCTCCTTGCTGGCTAATTTCAAGCTTCTGCTTCAGCTGGTAGCTGACTCTGAGGGCTGAGTTTTGGCAACGCTCATTAACAGAAAGCTAGTAAATGAGACGGAAGGTGAGCTCAGAGTCTCACTAAACTCTGCCTTTGCCTTTCACTGCTGGCCAGAGCACTCAGGGTGTGAGTATCCTCAGCTGCCACCCAGTACCCAAATGGGTGCTGCTCCTCTCTTGGGCTGTCACAGACTGGAAAGAGGTGTTTGATCCAGTTGCATCTCCCAGAGATTTCAGTGAAAGGAGCAAGTGCAGCCATTTCTATTTATACTGTGATAATTGTACCCCCTCTCAAAAGACCACAAAAAAAACAACAACCCAATTAAAAAAAAACCACAACCACAAACCACAAACAAAAGAACCCACACAGCTGTGCTTCATGGGAGGGAGCTTTGTGTGCATTAGCTGTGGGTTAAGTTTATACCTTCACTCTCTACACTTTGCTCTCAAGAATAATCACTGTCACCCTGCAGCTCCACCAGGAAGAAATGACTTAAGCCAAAGGTAATGCCAGCCCCTCCTTACAACGACTTGTTTCCCCTCTGCAAGACACTTGTTGCTTCACTTTCTGGCAGCAAATTGGTCGGTTTGGCTGAGAGGATTTAGAGAAGAAAATCTGCTCTCTCTGTGTTGCCTGCGTATGGCCACTGTCCTTCCTGACACCCCACAGGACAAGAGGAGTGATTATTGTCAGAAGGGGTGGAACCCAGCAGCAACGAGGGACCACTCATGGTACTTAGTTAAAGGCATTTCTGGAGCTATGGAAAATAGTCTAGGAGTCAGTACAAGCTCCATCATCTGAGGCACAAGCAGTCTTTAAGTGCCATCCTGCGTGCACAGGTCTGGAGAGGACTCAAAGCCCAGATTTCAGCAGAGCTGTGAGGTGTGATAGAGCCAAAAGGGAGCATCTTTGTGAATTTAATGGAATATCTTTGTGTCTCGGGCGTTTGGCTATGACAGTGGCCATGGGGAAAATGAATGCATGTATTTTATTTCTTCCCCGACAACACTTCTCAGAAGTGCTGTTTTGGGTTGGTACCACTGCATGTGCATTTCCCTGCACTTTTAGTGGCAAAATAAATGAGATTGACCTGGTTTTCTGCAGTTTTATTTGTTGTTCTTGAAACATGTGATGCTGCTGACTCCGTTTAACTGTTTTTTTCTGCTACACTGGGTAGTTAATCATTGTACATCAGAATTAAAACACTCTTTTAATGCTCCTACGGATGACTTCTTAGTCTCTGATAATGAGAGTTTCTTGCCAGGGGAGATGCCTGAATCTCATGACAACAGTGTTAAATAAATGAAAATCATGTATGCCTGACTCCATTCTGTGAAATGCATTTTTCTCCCAAATGTTCCACTGAGAATAGGTCAAAGGCTTTCATCTGCTTTATTAATTTTTCATTTTCTGAGTGTGGTGGTATTAGCATCTTTGCAGCAAAGTAGTAGGTTATGGTGAATTTAGTAAAAAATTGCACCTACGTAACAAAAAATCTATTCTTCTTTGTGTAGAAACAATGGGCCATTTTATTTAAGATTTAGTTATTTATCCCCATTTTCAGACTCAAACAGTAAATTTTGCTGTTGACACTGATAGAAAAGGGGGATTCCTGGAATCCTGTCTAGTTTGGATTGAACCTGTAGGTTCAAATCTGCAGGTTCTGGTGCGTTAAAGAGCTTGACAAGATAAACAAGGTTTCATCTTCATCTTATGCCAACTCTTTCTAATGCCTTTTTTTAAAATTTATTTTTCCCAGACACTTTCCTCTCCTTGCAGGCTGATTTCAGTTGTACTGATGTTGTTGGCAGTGGGTTAGTGAACAAGTGCTAAATCTCCCGTATTCCTGTTGTCAGGCTGAGATGGGTATAGGGGTGCTTTCAGCTTGTCTCATGGTAAAGTAGAAGCTTTGATTAATTTTAATTTTTGCAGACAGGAACGTACCACCCTTGGCAGCCACAGCAAGCACTTTGGTACTGTACCTCCCAGCCAGTGTCTGAGGGTCAGGGGAGGGGAATGAGAAGGAGGATATTTGTCTCTGTGGCCTTGTGAGAATACCACAGATCTTCATCTCTGCCTCCACTGCATTTCAAAGGATCTGAAGTTTCCAACTTTCCAAAAAAGTCTTGGGCTTCAGGTGGCCTACAGCAACGTCTGCACATCTGGGTAGCTGACCTCAGCATTGTAGAGCTTTAGTCAGACAGTCCTTCATTCGGTGCTTATAGATACTTCAGGAAGGGTGAAATTAGCCAGAGAATAATTGTAATTTTTTTTCAGACTCGGTGTTCTTAGAATGCAAAACTTTTGCTGGAGGTAAATATAGCATAGGTATTCTACTCAGGGAATGTAAAAATTAAGAGCAGCTTGAAAGTGTAAGCACTGGAGCTTGCGTTCCATGATCGCAGGTCTGGTGAATTTAAAAGTGACCTGTCCCACAGCAGCACGTTAGGCAGAGCCTGGGATAAAGTGTAATATTTCAATGCACTGTCAATTCCAAAATATTGGGGCGGGGAGGGCCAAGAAATTATAATTCTTTTCATTTTTGACAATATGAGAACTTCATGAGAACAATGTTTACAGCGGAACAAGCTGCTTTGCACAAACATAAAATTTTCAAGACATTTCCGTAATAAAACATCCCGGGGTGACTCCACCACATTCATGAGCCTCCCTCAAGACTGGCTTTCCCCGTTCAGAGGCTGCTGCAGATCAGCCAGTTCCCCAGCTGGTACTAAACAATCCTTCCAGAGTTCAGGGCTGCTGCCCGCACTGCTCCATCCATAGTCATCCATCCACCCGCCCCGGAG